GCAAGCAGGTTTTTTCTTGTGTTTCTTGTGAAACACAAGAACGTGTTTATGCACAATACTGCTAATTATCATATATTCTGATTATTTATTTTCAAATTGTCATTTTTAATGTATTAATTATTCAATTGGACATTCGATCATAAATATAACTGACATTTAAATTAATAAAACATTTACATATATGCATTTCCTGACACATTTTGGCTCTTTATATCCCTCAGGAATCACATCACATGATTATGGAAATGATCTCCCCATGTCGGGAATTCCTGCTTTAGAGGTTCTGAAGGTGGATTATTGTTGAAAAACGTAGAATTTTGATGAAAAAGTTGAAACTATGACCTTTAAAAAAAAAAAGACTGAATCCAAACGGCCTATAATAATTTACCTTGACCTGATGACTTGCATCAAATCACCATCTAATGCATGAAACTTCTGCTTGTAATAGAAAGAAACGGTGGAAATGCTAAAGTAAGATGAATAGATTTGCATATTTTATGGGAACAATGATTCTCTTTTGTTAACTAACTGGTTACAGCCTACCCAGCCCACTAATCTAAGTTATATTGATATCATCAAGAAAAAAGCTGTTTTAATCTTTAAAAAAAAACATTTTAAATCTACAACAATCAATATTTCTACATGGATAATTAAAAGGATAACATCTGCGATTTGCTAATTACCATGAATCTAGATAATTCCTCTCCTATCTTATGCATATCTTATTGGTTTGACATCAAAGCTGATGGCAGCAGACAGCTGTGAGCCGCTCGCAGGGAGAAATTTAACAATATGTCGCGTTTTTTTTTTAACGTGCCTGTCTTTATCGCTTACGTAGATGTAGGTCATCCAATATACAGTTTTACTGTCAGTGATTTTATTCTGTAAACACTTTTTTTGTGAAGTCTAAGTTTGTCTATGAGATTTTGCAAATCAGAATGCTGATACTTTTGCATTTAGTAGTAACAGTAATAATACATTGGATTTGTAATGCACTTTATATTTATACAAATCATAAAGTGCTACATAATAAATCAGGTAAAAGAGATACAATAGACAAAACATTTAAGGGCAAGAGATCCATTAAAAGCTCTCCTAAAAAGGTGGGCTTTAAGGCCATGTTTAAAAGCCTCCACAGTCTGTGGGGTCCCCATGTGGTCCGGTATTGGTCCCAATTGTTTTGCGGGGTTCCTCACGGCTCTGTTTTGTCAATTCAATTCAGTTTATTTATATAGCACAATTTATTACACATCATCTCAAGGCACTTTCCAGTTCACCAGATCATCCAGTCAAATTGATTTAAAGTTTTCTATCTAAGGAAAACCAGTTGATTGCATCGACTCTTTGACTTGGATGCAATCCCTCACACTAAGCATGCTTG